TCAATCGATCGATCGATTGATCGATCTTTTTTTCTATTTCTTTAATTCATTCATTCATTCCTTTTCTCGAAATGAAATGATAAAGATGTCGTCGATTAGATGGTAGAAGAACAAAAAAAAAAATAAAATAAAATAAAAATTTCCGCTATAAACAAAACAATCATTACAATGAACACCGATACCATTGATTTGACAGATTTGGAAAAAAATCATCATCATCATTATTTTTATGGCGAGAACGAAATAAATAAAAAAAAAAATTCACCAATCATCAATGGATCATTGATGATTGAAAATTTCTATTTGTGTCAATTTTTTTCGTTGTCGTTGTCGTCGTCGTCGTAATTCGAAACTTTGGTTGATAATTTCATTGATCGGTCGATGGTGTTATAAGAGTGTGTGATATGCTTGATTTATTTTGTTATCCGAATTTTTCGTTTGATAAATGAAATTTTTTTTTTTTTTTTTTTGTTTTTTCCATCTCATCAAATGATTGAAATGAAATTGTAAAATTTTTTTTCTTTCTTTTTTTTCAATTTCAATCATCATCATCATCATCGTCATTGATTGATCAATTTTCGTTGTGAATGACTGAACTCTCTGTGGATATTCTGTTCTACTACATTGATTGCTACCAATGATTATTGTGACCTGGCCCTTGAGGTCCATACATGTGATGAATATAATTGCTGCTGGTGGTGGTGATACAAGCTAGGTGCTCTCTGTGTATGTATACGAGAGTGTTGTAATCCTATTAGCGTTGATAATTTGTACTATGTATAACTTGTGTGTGTGTGTGAAACTGGCTGAATCCATTTTAAAGTGTCCAGGAGGAGGTTTGTAAATTAGCATTGCAAATTTTGAATTGAATTGTATAATTTTGTATACGTTAACATTTGACCTCGACCTTTTGTGATTGGAATATTATTGAAAATGATAATTTTAAACAATCTTGAATAATGATAATCTATAATTAGTTATATTATAAACCAACAAATTACATTTTTATCGTTGATAATTCATTCTGATGTATTGGCTACTGATTATTCTTCTGGTGGTCTAATCGATTGATTGATTGATTGATCATGATTGATGCGGGATACAGATTTTAAAACGAAAAATTTTTCCATGAAAGAGTTTATTGTCTTTTTTTTTGACCAATGACCAATTCACATTTGTAACGATAAATGATTGATAAATGAAACAAAATATTACACACACACACGGGAAAAAACGGATGAAAAAAAAGACAGATGTTTTGTTTTTTTTTTGTCTCTGGCTAATTACGATTCGAATGCATCAAACAAACAAAAAAAAAAATTCCGAAAACAAGAAACTGAAAAATTGATGAAAAACAAATGGAAATGAAATTCATAATGAATGAAAAATAATGAGAAAGAAGAATGTATAACATATACATGAATTAATCATGTTCATCATCATTCAATGATGGTTATCTCTTGTGTTTATTATTTCCATTTCGAATCAAAAACAAAAATTCAGATTCATCTCAGATGGATAATTGAATTGATAGTTTTTTTTCTCTCTCTCTTTCTCCATTGCTTATTACATTTGATTCAGAATGTTTAATTCTTCTTCATTACCTGTGTGTGTGTGTGTGTGTGTTTTGATCATAATCTATGATTTGGATTCATTTTTTATTAATATACATAAAAAAAAATCACATTTCAATGAAACGATAATCATCATTCAACAATGTCCGTTTTTTTTCTTTCAAATGATTCTTTTCATGTTTTGTTTATTATTGAATAACATTGAATATTCTTATATTTTTTGTTACAAGTTTTTTGATAATCAGTTTTTATGGTGGTGGTCACACACACACACACACACACAAAGCTACCATTCGTCAATAATAATAATAATCAAATACACACATTGTCCATCATCATCATCATCAGGTTTGTTGATGCCACACACAAACACCTTTTGGATTTGATCATTTTATTCGTGACCATTTTTTTTTTTTTTGATTCATCGTTCATTACCATTATTATTATTATCATATATTTGATGATTCAGTTATATGGATGAATTCGTTTTGGACACACACACACACACACAACTACGGAAAAAAAATTGTATACTTTTGATTTCTACCAATGTCCATTGGATACTAAGATTTAAAAAAAAAATATTATGAAATGTGTATATACACAAAGATGTTTGCCGACTCGTGACTTGAAATTTTTTGTTTTGTTTTTTTTTTATATATATATATATAAAAAAACAAAATATGAATTCAAACAACAAAAATCAAATGTTCTTCCTGTTTTGTTTTGTTTTGTTTCGTTTTCGTTTTTTTTCATATCATTGAAAAACAACAACCATACAATTTGTACACATTTGATATTGATATTGACCAAAAGAAAAAAAAAGTTTATTTGCCATATCCTTCATTCGCAGTTTTTTTTTCATTCCATTCAATTTCAATTCCATTCATTCATTCTTTGTGTTTTGTTTTGTTTACCTCACACACACACACTTGGAACTTATTTTGTTGTCGTTGTTGTTGTTGTTGCCTGAAATGTAAACATCGATCATTTGTATTTTGATCATCAAATTGACGGCCACAATGACACATTTATATATGTATTCGGATTGAAAATGAAACTTTCTCTTGTTCAGTTTTTTTTTGTTGTTGTACTAGAACAAAAGAAATTTACTTACGAAATCTGATGTTATTTTGTTGTTTTTTTGAAATTTAGTTAGTGTTGAAAATTTTGTTTCGTTTTTTTTTGACATTGACCGATTACAAGATTTAAGATGATGATGATGTTGGCGGGTATCCATGTATGCACTGGCCAATGAATTTTGTTTTTTTATTCAATTTTTAAAAATTTTCAATGATAAAATTGAATAAAATTTCAATTTTTTATATCACTACGATCACACTTAACACACACACACACACACACAGGTAGCATAGGTTCAGGCATCATTGAAAAATGTTTATTAAACGCCAACGCCAATCGAATGATGATGGGTGATCACGTAAATATTTTTTTTTTATTCCATATTCATTCAGGTTGTGTAGCTACCGTTTTTTTGTTTATTCCAATTGATTCATGAATTTTGATTCATCATTTTTTTTCATTTTTTTTTTCATTCGCTATCACTATTTTGATTGGATAATCCAATTTTTTCCCATTCATCATGACGGACCATTGAAAACCGATTGACAAAAAAAAATGGCAATGACATTGTATGATTTTTTTGTTTGTTTGTTTGATAAATTACCTTGTTATCAATACATGCCTTTTGGCATAATGAATTATTGTTGTATCCAATGTGTGTGTGTGTGTGTGTGTGGACATTCATATTCTGTTGAAAATGATTTTTTATTTTTGCCATTCTGTATTATTGAACACACGTACGAATTAACCGTGCACACTAAATCCTGCGTTCCATCATGTATCATTTTTTTTTTTGTTTGTTTGTTTGATGGATACATATCCAGATATCTCTTTTCGAAAGCAAAAAACGTGAACAGGATGCACACACACACACACACACACAGATACAACGGGTCGATACATTCAATCTATCTATCGGTGTGACACACACACACACACACACAAACAACTGTCAATCGAATTTTGTTTTTAGTCCCTCAGTTATCTCCCCCCATCTTGCAAACGAAAAAAAAAATCCACGGAACCACCATCAACACCACCACCACACACACATGCAAAAATCTCACGTAGATATTCGAATGTTATTTGATCCAAAATGTTTTTGTTTTTCATCTTCTTTTGTGTGTATGTGTTTCAATGTTATCAATAGCAAAAATCCCAAAGATTCGACACATTCGAATCAAGTCCCATAGGTGGAATACATTGCTCTCTTATATATTTCTCTACACGCACAACAGCCAATTCACGATTAAATTCTTCGATTTTCTTTTTTTTTTTTTTTTTGCATCATTGAATATATATTCTACTATTGTAGATTTATGTATGTTCAAATAATTTTTTCTTTCTTTCTTGTTTGTTTATACATAACAACAAAAACAAGAATATTCTCTTGTCGAATTTCCTGTGTGTGTGTGTATTTGTGCATTTGTTTCCTTTGTAACCAAGAATTTAGAAGACAAACATAGAAAAAAACCAAATCTCACATTTGTATTATGATTGTCGTTGATAATTCGATACATACACACACACACATGTGTATGAAATAAAATTCTATTTGTTGATATCGATATGTTTGTGTTTGATGACTTTGGAAAGAAAAAAAAAGATCAATCGATCCATGTTTGTCGAATTTTTTTTCTCTCTTTCTCTCCATTTAGTTGAAAAAATATCAGTTTCTTTTTTTTGGTTTTCTTTCTATTCTGTTTCGAAAGAATTTAGAAGATCATAGATCTCAGTGATGTTTGTGAATTTTTTTTTTCATTCGTTGTTGTTTAGTGGTGGTGTGTTTAAGTGTGCGAGTGTGTGTGTGTGTGTGTGTGCATGTGTGTGTGTGTGGGCACAAATTCCAAACAAACATACAAAAACGAATTCAAACATGATTCGGATGTGAACATTTACAGCTGTTATTGGCATCAAAATGTTTGAATGTTTTACCGTTTTTTCCAGTATTTTCATGTTCTGATCTACCAAAAAAAAAAAAAAAATGGGAAAAAAATTCGTTTATGTTTGTCGAGAAAAAAAAACAAAAAACGATAAAACATTGAAAATATTATCAATCTGTTCATGACACACACATACACACATACTCGAAAAACGACCTGAAACAAAAAATTTGCCAACCATGGCCCTTTTTTATGAATTAAAGTTTCAGAAACCCTGCTGCTGCTGCTGTCGCTTTGTCAATCATCAAATATCAAAGAATCGTCGGTTCATCCGATTCGATTCACAAATCATTAACAAACGTTTTTTTTGTCCTATCTGATTTTTTAGTATTAAGAAAAAAAAATTAACTCTTCGTTTTTTTTTTTTTTTTTCCGTTATCATCTGTTTTTTTTTTGCTAGATACAAAAAAATCCACATCATTAACGACGACGAAACGTTTACGACGAAATGATTTATTAGATGATTTAAAACGTCATCATCAATACGATCATGATTCAACTGAACAAGATAACGAATAAGATGACAACATATTGATGATTCAAAATGCTACTGCTGCTATTGGAGAAAAATTTGAAGCCAAAAAAAAAAAAAAAAATAAAATAAAATAAAGATCACTGACAGCACGATTTGCATCCATGGGATAAATTTTGAAACCATATAACGATGATGATAATATTTTGGCAAAATATTGACCTACCTGGATGATGATATTTTTTTCTGAGAAAATGATTTACACTTGGGTCCTTTAAATGGTGGTGGTGGTGGTTATCATCATTATCACACACACACACACACAAACACACATTTATAAACACTTGTTGGATTTTTTTTTCTGACAAGCAATTCATATTTGAAATCACGCATACACAACACCGACCTATCAACTTGAAATGACAAGATGAACATCAGAAATCATAATAATCATCATCATCATCATGTTTGAAAATTTACCGATTTTTTTTCATCATCATTAGCTATATAGCCAATGAATCTCAATATTCGGATCTAATCTTCAGAAACTTTGTGATTTTTTTTTCTTTTTTCTTTTTGATTAATACGTTGTTTTCATTTATTTTGCCCATCTTTAATGACTATTCAACCGAATGACATTGATCATTTTATTTAATGATGATGATGATGATAATTGTGTCATTTTTTGTCATATAATTTTAACAAACAGAAGATGTAGAAACCTGAATGAATATTTTAGGAATAAAATTCTTCTTTAAAATAAATGATCAATGTTTGTACATTTATCAACAGTTAGTGTGGCTACTAGTTGGATGAATTTAATCGTTTTTTTTTTTTTTTTTTTTGATCTTACCACAAAGCTTATTTATAGGGACAATTTTGTTTTTCATTTCAACGAAAAAAAAATCAAATCAAATTCTTTTACAGATTTAAGCGCGTGCGTCAATTTTTTTTTACGGAAAAAATGATTTATTCACAGACCCTTAAGGAGAATAAATTTAGAAAAATTTGGAATACCGACACACACACACACAACCAAAAGAAAGAAGAAGAATTGATAGTGGTGATGATTTATTGACACCCTAACAACAACAACAAGAACATTCAACCTCAAAAATTTTGAACGTCATTTGTCTCGTCTTGTTGTTGCTGTTGTTATGTTCACCTTTGAGAATATAATGATTGGTAACAAATGACGATCCTTATAGATTAGATTATATTCCCCATTGTGACACCACCATCATTTGAATGATTACTGTCGTTGTCTCTCAATCTTTGAAATGTATCAAATTGAAAATATAACCGCATTTCTTATTTATTCATTCATCTGATTCTCGATCATTGATCTCCTGTTGATGATGATGATGATGATGATGAGATTGATATCTTTCTTCACAGATAACAGCAACAACAACAACAACAACAGCAGGTATGGCACTGACATTGACAATTCAACAACAACAACAACAACAAATCATCGCCTTTGATTTGAAGAATGAATGAATTTTTGTTTTTTCTAAACATTATCCAGTAGCCGGCAAAATAATCTTTGAATTGTCAATCAATCTTGAATTTGATTAGATTTTTTCTTTTTTCATTGCCCATTTGTTTTCATCATATAGATGATTGTATGCTCAAACAAACAAACAACTCTGATCATCTCTGGTTCCTTGATGATGATGATCATGATCATCATAATTTTAATAATTCTAAGGGACGGAAAAAAATTCTAAAAATAAAAATAAAGAATTGAATTGAATAATTGTTACATATTTGAACAATGGTACCACATTTCCCGGATCTTTACATCTATTTTTTTTCTGGATCCATATTTTTCTTTGCCCTACGATACCTCCTACCGGTTTTTTGGTCATCAATTTAATGTTGTTGATGATGATGATGATGACCTGAGATTTTTTTTTTTTTTGATATTATGAAAATGACCAGAATAGTGAATAGTGACCTCCTGTAGTGGTAGTGTTGATTACATTTTTCGACCATCATCATCATATATCGAAAATGATTAGTGAAATGATGTACAGAGATATAGAGAATGAATAAAATGAATTCTTGTTCTTCAATATGTGTGTGTGTGTGTGTGATCTCCCAGATCATTCAGAATGATACCTGTAAGAAAGAAAAAAAAAAGAACATCATCATTGAAAATGAACCAATTTATAATGTTGACTATATGGATAACAACAACAAAAACAACCACAACAAACAGAACAGCAATCAAAAAAAAAGCAAACAAGCAAGAAGCAGCAGCAGCAGCAGCCGCAATCAACATATCACCACATGGCTTCTGGGTTTTGCTTAATATTTGATGGTTAGAGAATCATCGTAGTTATCCTAGAAATTAGTTTCTAGCCATCCACATTTACATTCTCCTCCCCTTAATTTTTTAAAAACCAAATATCTTCAACGCTTCGTCTTTGACTGATGATCATTGATGATGATGATGATGGTCGATGAAAAATTCATCGATGAGAAGCGGCATTTTTCATATGACCGCCCGTCTTGATCGAATGATCGAAATGAAAAAAAAAAAAAGAAATTAGCTGAAAAAAAGTGCAACAATCCATGTTATCTATCCTCTTACTCTCTCTCTTTAAGTTCAATGTATATCTGATGATTTATACATACATTATAGGCAACAAATGGTTTTTCTTTTTCAACTTTGAAATATCTCAAGTTCCAGAATGTTTTAGACCACAATGTTGTTGATGTCTATGTGATTTGATGTGATGAGCGTACATACACACACACACACATGTAACCTGATGATAAGCATCATGATATGAATTTCATCATAGTAGTCGTCACTCATGTTGGAAATTTGATCAAAAAAAAAAAAAAAAAAAAGAAATTGAAATTTAAAAAAAAATCAAACCAACAGACAACAATCAAAAAAAAAAACAATTTCTAAAAACAGTATGCAGCATACGATGATGGATTACAATGAAATTCAACATTACATTACATTACATACATTCATATCAAATGTTTGCCAAGATGCTGCATCAAATTGTTTTTTTTTTTGGTTTTGTTCACATCATCAAATATGTCACGATGTTGACATATTTGACATTTGATCATCATCATCATCATCATAACCATCAAGTTGTTTTCTAATGTATACATGTTTGGTAATCCTGAGAATCAATAAAAAAAAAGGATCCGGATCCAAATTTGAAATGATGAGATTTTTCATCTACGCCTCTTTGAATGGTACAGTGATGATGAAATCAAATCAAATATGGATATGATGCTAAAAATAAATACACTGTTCCTGTTGTTGTTGTTGGTGGTGTTTATTTTAGGCTATTCTTGGCTATAAAAATATGAATTTTTTTGTTACAAACAAAGAGTATAAGAAATGGAGCAATAATGTGGTGTCATATAAGAATGTCGCGCTATTGTCGTGATGAAATAATATATGTGTCAAGTGTGTTTATGTCAATGAATTATGAATATTTTTGTTGTTGTTGTTGTTGTTGGTGGTGGTGGTGGTGGTGGATGTTGATGGTCAAGCCATCCATTTTTTTTTGTTGAATAATTCAATCGCAAAATGAAACGCCTCCTTTCTTATTAATTTTTTCATCATCATCATCATCATTGGCCTGATGATCAGATAGACACACAATTGACTTTCGCTTTATTATTATTATTATCATCATGGGCTTGGCCATTTTTTTTTTTTTTTTTTTTTTGACCATCGTATTTTTTTTCCTACTTCTATGATTTAAATGTATGGATGTATGTCTTATTTGGTTGTGTTGTGTTCCATCAACGTACAATCAAATTCAGTTCATTTACAGAAAATCAAAAGAAAGCGAAAAAGGGAAAAAAAACCTGAAAAAAACGATTCGATTATGTTGAATCTGAATCTGAATTAATAATTTTTTTTTCTGTTTATTAGTTAGTCCAATGTGTGTGTGTGTGTGTGTGTGTGTGTGTGTGTGTGTGTGTTGCACCTTGCACCTTTTTCTCAACCTGTGTATACATGTATTCCATAACAATAATAACTGAAATATGTTGATGAAGAATTTTTTAGTCTTTAAGAAAAAAAATAATCATCATTATAATGATTATGATCATCATCATAATCATCATTATATTTTCTTCACTGTCCAAAGATTAATTGGTAATTTAGCAGTGTGTTTTTTTCCACATTCAGATCCAAATTCAAATCAATTCACATACACACACACACACACACACACAATCTACACGCATATTCATTATTGTTATACAACCTTAAAATGCAAATCGATAGTGTGTGTGTGTGTGTGTGTGTGTGTGAGTAAAACAAAACAAAGCTTTGAAAAAAAACAGAATGAATAAAAGTAGAAAAATTCACAAATTGATCAATGAAGAATGTTTGTCCATTTTATGTGTGTGTGTGTATAGTGTGCATAATTATTTTTTCAATAAAGATGGAAAGAGAGAACCAATTCTCCATTAATAATGATGATGGCGGTGATCCAGAAAACTTGAAATTTTGAAAGCCATCGGCCAAATTAAAAGTAGCAGAAAAAAAATGAATGAATGAATGAACGAATTTTTTTCCATCGCAAACAATAAAGTGAAACAAAAAAGTTTTAATGATAATCATGTATTATAAATATGCACAGAAAAAGATTGGCAGAAAAAAAAGTGTTTCATTTAAAACACAAATGAAAATATCATCATGATATGTTCCATCATCCTGTTTGTGAGTATCGTAATCAAAAAAAAAAAAATCATCCTGTTTTTTTTGTTTGTTTGTTTGGACCATCAAAAACTGTTTTTTTTTTTGTTGCTGAATGAAATGGCCACCACACACATATATTAATCATAATATAAAACTGTCCAAATCGATGATGATGATGATGATGTTCAATGAGTTTTCGATGAACGCATTTTTTTTAGCTTGAATCCAATCATCATCAAATATTTTTTAAAGCTTTTGTGATTTGGCAAAAAAAATGAACATTTTGGCTACTTTTTTTTGCTGTTGTTTTTTTTTCGTTTCCATACGGCCATAATTTGTTTTCTATTGATCATTTCCTAGCACCATGATTGTTAAAATCTTAATCACACACACACACACACACACAACAATAATCAATTCGAAAATCCATCATCTATGATGATTATCATCATATAATCATTATTATTACGACAAAAAGTCAATGTGTGTGTGTGTGTGTGAAAACAAAAACAAAACATGATTAATTATCATATATTTGGTTGATGGATCAAATAATAATAATCTTTGGTTACAACAAAAAAAATGAATAATGATCTTAATTTTGAAATGATCATATATCGAATTTATTTTTCATTTCCTTCATTTCATCATCCAATACGCATCGCAATGTTTTTTTGTTTCTTTTTGTTCGAGAATGAATTTGGTCACTTGAATTGAATGATCAATATTACATAATTAATGGTGCAGAAACGGTCAAATAATTATTATTTTTGGATGATGATCATCATGATGATGGTGGTGGTGGTGGTGGTGTTGGTGATCATCGAAGTGTACGCATTTTTTTGAATGATCTGAGATTTTTTTTTTGGTGAAGCAGAATAACAAATGACCATCACCACCAAAAAAAAAAAAATCTAATCACCTCGAACCTTTATGATGATGAAAAAAAAACAAAATATTTGTAATATTGAAATTGAAACTATTTGTCGCTTACTAAAATAAACAAATATATTCGATTCGGATGGTTGAATATCGATGGTCATCATTCAATGGTTGTTGGTTCGAGAAACAAAACAAAACAAAAAAATCTTGATGACCACATCATCACCAAAAAAAAAAACAATGGATTCCAGAAAAAAAACAATCTTCATAATGATGATAACCGATGTTATGTCATGGTCGATGACCGATATCCATGATGATGATGATGATATGGATCATTTCATCATTGATCCACACACACACACATCGTACAATATGGTATTGAATTTCATTCATTTTGACACGAATAATTGAATAAATAAATGAATGGCTAAAATTGCCATACAAAAACAACAAACTTTTGGTGGCCCTTAAAATTGAAATTGAATTACAAATATATACCCATTATTATTATATATATATATGAAATGAATAGAATCGTTGTAATCTAAATAATAGTCTAAACATACTCTCGTCCCATCATCATCAGAAAGAAAGAAAGAAAGAAAAAAAAAATAAAAACAAAAAAATGGCATTCAATTGGCCGTAGGAACGAACACAAGTGAACGAACACACACACACACACACACACAAACAAAAAATCAGTCCATTCATTTTGTTCAAAATTCGGAAAACAACTGACCCGAATAAATGTGTGTGTGTGTGTGTGTGTATGTTTAAATTAATTGCCGCCATTGTTCTTGTTGTTCAAATGATTATGATGATGATGATGATGTCGATTTTTTTTCTGAGTTTGAATTTCCGTCCAGTTTTTTTTTCATCATCATCATCATCATCATCGACATTGATGATCTTGTTCGGACAATTTTATTCAATAGACATCATCATCATCATCATTGATTGTGTGATCAGAGAAAATTTCTAGTTATTTTTTCAATTCGAATTAATTCGATTTTTTTTTCTGTCGGGCACAATGATATTATATATGTCATTTAAAACAGATTGCCTCAAATAATATTAGTTTTGATGTTTGATTTTGATCATTCGAATTGAATCTCATCATTCTTTTTTTTTGTTTTTTGTTTTTCGTTTGGAAAAAAAATGGGCAAGAATTTTTTTTTTAATTTTATTTTTTCTCAGTGTTCCAATCTGGATTTTAGTGTGTGTGTGTGTGTGTGTGTATATGGGTATGATGTTGGTGAATTGTCATTCCCTCTCGTATACGATTCTTATTCACCTCAATTTTTTTCTTTTTCTCTCTCTCTCTCTCTCTCTGGTGTTGTTCATTCGTTCCAAGATATCAAATTCGATTTATTATAACTAGTGTGTATTGTGTTTTTTTCCACTGTATAGTTAATGACTTACCATTATCATTTTTTTCGTAAGTGTGCGAGTGTGTGTGTGTGGATCGAAAACATTTTTTATAACCAAATCGAAACGAATCAAATAACTAGCCTGAACACACACACATACACAACACTTGTCATTGTCGTTGTTGTTGTTGTTTTTGAACCAATATGACAATTTCGTTTACCAAACACTAAAGTTTATGAATGTTATAGAATAGAATGAGAGAGAGAGAGAGAAAAGCAAGAAATGGAAACTTGATTCTCTAATACAATTCAAAAAAAAACAACAACAACCGAGACAGCCATCTATCTATATCTATCTATCTATCTATCTCAAAAAAAATGGGAAGGTGTAATGAACACAAGCAGATAAATAAATAAATATACAGTGAAATTGATGTAAACTTTTAATGCTTTCCAATTCTTTATTTTTTTATATGTCATTTGATTGAGACATTTATTTTATTTTGCCTTCCTTAATATTCTTATTATTATTATTATTGGAACACACAGTTTCAGAGTCCATTTGCTCATACACACACACACACGGAGACACGATATTCATTCATTATTTTTTTTCCTGTTCATTTCGAAATTTTTCTCAAACAAATGAATGAGTAAATTGGTTCATTTCATTTGAACCTTAATGAGAATTTGGGCACAATTTCTCTCTCTCTCTCTCTCATTCATTCATATCATTATCATTATTGGTTGATTGTTGTTTCACCAAGAAAATAAAAAAATAAAAACATTCAAAGTTCTAAACAATTTTTCATTTATTTATTTTCGATGAAAAAAAGTAGAAATTCTTGGTCATTTTCGGGTTGATTGCTTCATCCATCCATTCATTCATTCATTACGGGTTTTTTTCTTCAAGATTCAATCAGTATTTTAAAAAGGGTCTAATAATGCGAAAACGCACAAACAATTTAAATTAATAACGCAAATATAACAATAGTCCTAAATGGTGAATATATCCCAGAACAAAAAAAAAATAATTGAACATCATCGATAATTGAATCGAATCACATTATCATCATAGCATATTGGGTGGCCCCCTTGTTTTTCATTGTCGTTTAAACGAAATCGACAAAAATGGGTAAAAAAAATTGAAAACAATCATCACACTTGATGATGATGATGATGAGGGGACATTGATTGTCGCCAAATAATAAAAAGTAATAGTTTCGAAACGAATTGAACTGGTAGACGAGGACAAAAAAAAATGATCCAATCAACTTTGAACCGGCATCAAGTCTCAATATTTGTAATGATATTTAAGCGAAAAAAAAATTTTCTATTCACCGTTATTCCAAATAACAATCGAGGAAAGCAATGAAACAAAAAAATTACCAATCAACAAACCAAGTTGGCAATCATCATTATTATCATCATCATCAATTCTTTAATTCAAGTCATTTGGCAAACTTACAATTCTTTGTTGTTTTTTTTGATGACTAAATTGACAAACGAAGTCATTTTCAAAAAAAAACATTGGGAAAAGTTTCCGGTTAAATTGAACTTCATCATCATCATCATCGAAAATGATCGTTTTTACAATTCTATCTTTCCGATTTAATGGTAGAATACGTTTCAAAAGAATTGGACAACAACAACAACAACAAAGCGAAAATGAACTCAATTCAATCGATTTCAGTTCAAAAAAACCGGATGGAAAATTTCACGTTGCATCAAAAATTTGAATTTTCATTATTAAATTCATTAATTCATTTTATTTATCGTTATTATTTGTTGTTTTTCATATTCATCATGTTTATATTGGAAAAGAGTGAGAGAGAGATAGTAAGGAAAGAAGGATAATGATGAATTTTTATTTTTATTTTTTTTGTTTTCGTTATTATTTACAAACAATGAGATTAATGATAAAAATTGTATCATTGTGTATGTGTGTGTGTGTGTGGGTGTTGTTTGCCATTATAACTATGATGTTGATGATGATGAATAATAATAGCGAATGTTTGTAATAATTGATTCATTTCATGGAGAAGGAGAGCGAGAACGAGAGAGAGAGAGAATTTCATCATGAATTTGTGGTAGGAATTTTTCACGTGCATGAGTACGATGTAGTGTGTAGGTGTGCATTTATATTACATTTCAATCATAACTGAATCGAATCATCATTTTGAATTATATGTTGTTGAATTTCTGATCAAAATGTTGTCAGAATTTAATATGTTCGAATTTTTTCCATCCTCCGTTCAATTCTTCAGGCCAAAAAAAAAACCAAATCAATCGATGAATGAATAGAAAAAAACATGAATTTAGTTATCACAGACATGGACATGTTTTTTTTGCATTCTTTTTTTTTTGTTTATTTGTCTGGTTCATTTATTTGGATTATGTCATACCAAATATTGTTTCGGTGCCGGAATTGGAATTTTCCTCTCTTTCTTTTTCCTTCATTTATCGTTGTTCATGTTGAATAAATAATTTTTACGTAGGTGTGTATGTGTGTGTGTGTGTGTATGTATGATCAATGATGATCAGAAAAAGGAGGCGTGTGATTGAATCTACCTACTTGAATTGATGGGCATTGATGATGATGATGATGATGATGATTATAATGTTTGAGCTGCTGCTGTATACTCTGTGTGTATTTAATGTCTTATCAAATGTTTAAATCGTGTGATTAATGAGAGAAAAAGAGAAAATGATCTTCAATAAGAAAAAAAAAATTGGGAGATGAAAACAACTAACGAATGAATAGAAATTTATGCATCTAAGAATGAAGATGAAGAAATTAAGCAAACAATAATTCATGTATTTACTGTGTCTGTGTGTGTGTGTGTGTGTAGGTGTAGGTGTTTTGTCTATATCAATCAATCAATATTTGATGTTCAATAATATAATATGATAGGATGAAAAAGATGTGATGATGATGGTGATAATGATGATAACGATGAAAACAAATGCAATTAGAAACAACAAGAAAAAAAAAGAAGCAAAGAATGAATATGAAGAAAATTTTTGTCAATTAGGATCATTATTAGGAATTGAAAGTTTTGATAGGTTTTGTTTTTGTTCTATTTCTTTGTTGTTCACCAAACTGGTGTTTCAGTCATTGTTGAAAATGTTGGCGGACCAGAATTGGCTGAATTTGGTCGACCAAATGTATCCGGTGTCATTACTGATAGATTTAATGAACCACCATCACCACCACCGGCACTACTACTTGGTGATACAGAATTTCTTGATTGACCACCACCACCACCACCGGCAGCGACCATGGAATCTGGACCTAAACTGTTTCCAGATATGAAAGGAGCATCAGCACCAAGATTTATTATTCCTATGAAAAAATTTCAGAAAAAAAAATCATATGAAAAATAAAATTGCTATAAATGAATAAATATAATCAAAACACTCACCTGGTTGATGAATATTAGAACCTGGTTCATGCATATTTGGGGCAGAAACTGGTGGCGGTACTTGTGTCCGATGACTATTTGGTCCGGATGAAAATGAAAGACCACCATTATTTGGACCGTTTGAATTCGATCCACCATCTACACCGTTTGTACCTGGTGGAGGTGGTCCAGATAGTGGTGGTGGTCCTGATTGACCTTGTGGTCCATTATAAAAATCAAAATAACCAGATGTATGTGATGGTGGTGGTGGAGGCGGTGGTGGTCCATTGAATTGAAATTCACTTGGATTACTTGAATCTATACCATCATTCAAAGAGAGAAAAACAAAATAGAAAAAAAATAATGAAAATCTAAATATATGAATATTGAAGAAGAGGAATGATTTCAATAAAATAAAAAAATGCTATCATCTTATCGATATATTTCGTGATGCTACCGTGTTGAATTCAAACGAACGAAAAAAAAAAACATAGTGAATTCTGACATTTATAAATCATCATTTCAAACCAATGATTGAACAATTAGTCAAAAATTGAGAGCAATCAAAAAAGAAAAATAAATTGATTCTACATATGTGTGTAACTAAATACCAAGCAAGCAAGCAAGCTTCACATTATCATCATCATCATCCACTTGGGTCAGATGATTTGACTTTTGATCATCCCTTCCAAAAAAAAACAACAACAACAACAAATTAGTTTGTACACAATCTATTCATCTAATATTTTGTCTTTCTCTCTCTCTCTCTCTCTCTCTTTGGTCAATGTGGTGAATAAAATTTACCTTAACATTTTACGCGAGTAAAAATAAGTAGAACAACAACAACAACAACAACAAAACAAAATGTAACTTGCGGCTTGATTATTTTTCCAACAAAGTTATATTATGATGATGATGAACAACAAGAAAAAAAAGGAAATCTGGTCGACGAAATGAAGAACAAAAAATTGTTTCTAAAAGTTCTACATACTACGATGATGACATTGATGGATGTGTTTTGTTTTTTTTTTTATTATTCCACAATCTTGGCCAATGCATACGGACAGTAAACTAAACTGGCCAAATTCTGTTTTTTCTTTTTGTCCAACCAATAAACAAAAAGAAAGAGAAGGGAAAACAACCAGTCGATTGAATTTTGTGAACCTTCGGTAGGCAGGCAGGCGATCTGAACATAGTATTTTGAGGCACTCCTTCAGAATGAGTTTTCTGTGTTCAAATTTTTTTGATATTAAAAATTTTTATATTTTTTTTTTCACTGGCTACTTTTTTTTGTCTGATCTCGATTGATTCTACACATTCGATTCGATGATCATTCAATTGTCGCACACAATGAATGGTTGGGGTAGGAAAAAAATGAATTATATTCGACGTTGTCGTCTACTGTGCGAAAATCTTTCAAATGCGAAAAAAATTGCCATGAAGAAAAAAAATGATAGACAAACCAGAGAGAAAGAAAAAAAACCGCAATCAATGTTCAATGATGGCTAATTCGTTGCCCTGGTCAAAGGTTATGCCAACCAGGCAATAATGAAAACAACGAGAAAAGAAAAAGAAAGCGTGAAAAGCGTGACTGGATTTTCAGTGAATTCATTCCAAATAGCCAATAGCCAATAGCCAACAACAACAACAATAATAATATCAGACAGAATATCGAATCGATCACCAATATACAACTGATATAAAGCTTCTGACATTTTTTCAAAGTAAAAAAAAATTGCGTGATGCTTAAAAATGATGCGGCTACCCAAAAAACTTAAATTTTTTTTTATATATTGGCATTAATTCGACTGCCGTGATTCTTTTTTTCACAAGAAATAAATGAAAATCCAAAATTTTGACAGAAAAAGAAACATTCGTCCATCAAAATCATTGAAATCGAAACTAAGACAGAAGATAAAAAGTGTGATGGGTGTGTTTTTGGATCTCAAATTTCAACAACTCTTCAAACACACAGACATCGATATCGATATAATCGATACCTCACACACACACACACAGAAAACAACAACAATTTACAACACATAACAACACACAAATCACGCAATCGAATGATTAGAACCAAAAAAAAAAAACAAAAACCAAATAATAATCATATTGATATCAATTTCGACTTTTATATTCAAGACAAACAAACAAACAAAAACTAAACTACTACGAAACACCTACCAAACACAAATTGTTAGCCAATCAAAAATCGATGCCAATGATGATGATGATGATAATAATATCAAACAAAATGCTAACCTCAAAACACATTTGAATAAATGGTGAATAAAAAAGAACATATAAAATAAAACAACAGCAACAAAAATCGGAAAAGAAAAGAAAAGAAAATCAGCTCTATATAAATATAAATAAGAGGCTTTTCATCATCATCATCAACATCATCTGACAGTTGTTCAATGTTTTCTTTATTCTTATTCAATTCATTTGCACGCAATGTTCATGAGGAGGTCCAGAGAGAATGTGATGAAGAAGAAGATTGAAGACTGAACTGAACTGAACAACAACAACAACAACTAGAAGAATGAGAGCAAAGTTTTGCTGTTCATCATCGATGATGATGATTATTATTTATAGAGTTTTTGTTGTTGTTGTTGTTGTTGTTGTCTGGATTTTGATCTTCTAATGTTGTTTCAACAACCATGATGATGTGTTGTGGGTAAGACTGTCAATTTTTTTTTGTATATTCTTTGTTGCTGAAGTAATTTTCATTTTTTATTTATGCACATGGATTGGAAACTATGTTGACAACAACAACAACTACTGTGATTTTTTTTTTTCGAAGACAATCAATAAATTGAAGAATTGAGAATTGGCAAATGAGGATTCTGTTTGGTACACCCTTTCCACTATGGAAATATCGAATAAAAAATCAATTTTTTTTGGCAAAATTTTTCAATGAAAAAAAAGAAAGAAATTCAAGAAGATATTTTTCCATATGGCCAAACCCGAGACATTGAGTGAGTAAAATGAAATGATGCCTAGCCTCTCTGATTCATCATATGATGATGATGATGATGAAAGAATGAATGAATGAATGGATAGATTGGCCCCGGATCATGATGATGATCATCATCATCATCATGGTCTTCGATCTTTTCTTGTTTTTTGATCTGTTTTTTTTTCTTGGTTTTCCATGTGTGTGTGTGTGTATATAAACCCGCGAATGATAATTAATGATCTTTCAGAACTTCGTGTATACCTGATCGATCGATCGAAGCTATATATAAATGAATTTCAAAGCTTCTGCTGCTCCTCTTTTATTCGAGTTTGAATTTTTTTTTTTGCTTTGCTTTCTTTAGGTTTTGAAACCAAATTCATTGAAGCTGATCATAGTTAACCATCAACAACAACAACAAAAAAACGAACGAACGAAAGAAAAAAAATCGTTAGTTCGAAAACTATTTTGAAGTGAAGAATTTTCTCATTTTCACCATCTTCATTCATCAACACCACTAACTATTAATGAATCTAAATCTTTTAGAGAAAAAAAAGGAAAAAAACAACAACAATCTTTATTTGAAACTGAAAACATTTTGCTCTGATTTTTTTTATTTTATTTCTCCAAATGCAGCCTGTTTTTTTCATCCATTTCACTGTGTATTCGGCTTCTTCATCATCATCATCATCGAATGGTTTTTTTTTGTTTGATTCATTTCCTTGGCCAACCAACCGACCAATCAACCAATCGAAATGTGAAAAAAAAATTAAGAAATTGACTTGGCCAATGAAAGATCATCATCATCATCATCATCAGGTTGAACCGAACAACAACAAAAAACAGAAGAAAGAAAAAACTCGATGGACTGACTGACCGATCGAAAACTAAACACTCTAAACGATATTGAAAAAAAAACGAAAGGCAACGCGATAGGAAAAAAAATCCGATAAATCATCAATTTTTTTTCCCATTCTAGGAGCAAAGAAATGAAATCATTCATTTTATTTCATATAGATATATATTCTTCATGTTTTCGCGTTCGAGTTAATTTTTTTTTCATCTTTTTTTCTGAATTTTTTTATTCTTTTTTTTCATAATAATAATAATAATAATTTGACGGTCTTGAATGATTTTTCATTCATCATCAACGGTCATTTAAAAATGATTCCCGAATGAAAGAAAAAAAAATTTTTTTTACCGAATTTCAAACCTTTGTAACAATAACAACCATAACAACTAAGCAATGTTTTGTTCATTGAACTCAATGGTAGAATTTTTTTTTTTTTTAGTGAATTAAATTGTTATATCTGGTAAATGTGGAAAAAAAATGTTGCATTTTTCCTCGATGGATAAACTCAATCATCGAATGTAACTTGTTGTTGTTGTTTTGTAGAGGATATGGTTTCATTTTCAATTAAAATAGACAAGAAAAAAGACAATGGTCATACGAAAAAAAAATGCAAATTAAGGTGCGCCAAAAATCATCATCATCATCATCATTACCATGTCCTTTTCGGATGATCAACAAAAAAAAATGAATTGAATAAAATATGGTGGGTGTAGTAAGTAGTAGTGGGTGGCACTGTCTACATGAAATGTACCTATGTGTCCATCATCATCATCATCATCATCATCAGCATAATCATTATCCAACATCATCAGTGATCATCATCATTATGCAATTGATGGTCGTGGCCTATTCTATAAAGATTGAAAAATCTGACAAATTATAAATTTCCAGAATTTTATGCTTCATTATTCAAAGTAGAAAAAATTCAAATTTTCTGACAAAAGTCAAAGAAAATGTTGAAAAAAAAAAAAAACACACACACACACACACAGCAGCAGCAGCAGCAGGTATAACATTCATTGCTAGTCATTTAGTTATGGTTATCATAATTGACGATCATCATCATCATCATAATTATTATCACCACACCATTACCATTACCATCATCACCAAATGGTGATCAAAATGAGAATTATACAAGTGTGATTTGACCATCACCAACACCGACAACACCAACCACCATGATCATCATTATTATCAACACGAAGACAAAATGACAATTTTTTCTTTTTATCGTTCAAATAAAACAAATTCAAATCAGAAAAAAAGCGCATGAATATTCAATATATGAAGATGGCTTTAAAAAATAAATAAATTCAAGATAAAGATCAACAACATTTCTTGTACAGGGTTTTTTTATGAATTTTTTTTTTTTTTTTGGCCACACTGAAAAAGTTGAAATAAATGAACCAAATGAAATATATAGATCCATTTATAAGGATGCGATGTTTACATTTACAGCCAAAATCATTTTTTATGAGCTAAATTTATCATCAAAATTTGCAAAAAAAAAAACAAGATATTCCATATGTGTGTGTGTGTGTGGCATATTGGGCCATGGCTATAGTATCAGTGTTAGTTTCGAGAAAAAAAAGGAAAAAATTTTTTCACATGAAGAAATGAAATATATCGAAATGAAAAAAGGGCGTTACTTTTAAATGTCTGTGTGTGCCAAAAAAAAAAAAAAAATTTTCAAGAATAAAAATAACTTCTCTCTACATATGTATGGATGGATATAATTATAAAGCAAAACAGAATTCTGATTCTAATTTTTTGTTTTGTTTTCTTATTCATCCAAAAATGTAAAAAAAAATAATCAAAGAGAATTGAAATTATTATTACAAGATCCAGACATGTGTGTTAAATTTTTTTTGCTGGTTGTGAATGACATCTGGATTCTGTAATGATGTGATTGCATTTTGAATTTGAATTTCCGTTTTGTTTATTTTGGGCAAGAAAAATGAAAATTCAAAAAAAAAAATTTGGATGAATCCAATAAGAGGAGAAGAGGAAAAAAAATGGAGCTATGAATGAATATTTTTTATTCTTTGCCCATTCATTGGTCATTTTTTGTTGTTGTTGTTGTTCACTCTATCTCCTTGATGATGACCACTTGGTGGTGATTTTGATGATGACGATGGCCATATCATCAACATCACATATTTTGTCGAATAATAATTCATCATTCGACATCATCATCATCATCATCATCACACAATTCAAAATGTAGCCACCACCACCAAGGCAGGCGAAAAGATATTATGCATTGTCCGCATACCAATCACGATTTTTTTTTTGTTTCGCGTTTCATCGTTCAAATGTAACATAACAAAACATGGAAAATATTCATTTGTTGTTGTTGTTCATGGCTGATGATGATGATGAAATATTCAACGTGAATAACATAGACACACACACACAATAATCGCTCATTTTTTTTTCTTGCTATACGAATAAATATAGAGCAAAATGTCTGTAATATGTAATATATCTAATGAATGTGAATGTGTCAGATTCATATATATGATCAGATTTTTGTTTCTAGGTTTTTTTTTTCGCTGTGGTGGTGGTGGTGGTGGTGGTGGATATAATTTTTAATTATTACAAATCATCTAAATTTGTTGTTTCCCCTCTGTCATTCTCACTCAATACTTAAACCTCAGAGAGAGAGAAGAGAGAGCTACCTACCTACCTATTGCGGTTTTTATTTTCTGGTTGAATCTCAATAGGATTCTCACACACACACACACACACACACACGCACAAACGTTGTATGTATGTGTGTTGATCATATGTCAAAATGTGTGTAGAATGCTCAATCATAATCAACCAAAAAAAAAAAAAAAACAACATGAACAAAGATTTTCTATTCTTTCCGTCAATGTTTTTTTGTCGAAATCGGTCTGTCTTTCAGTCTGAATCTGAATGAACAAAACTGTCTGTGTGTGTGTGTGTGTATGTACACACATAGTGAATATATGTATTATATAGAAGAAAGTTATTAGAGATCACCAATGAGAAAAAAAAAAACAAGATAGATCGAATAGATATAAAACTTGAAATAAGAATTGAACTACATATAGTTTGAACATTATTAAAAGACATGATGATGATGATGACACGACACGACATCATCATATAACGCTGTTGTTTTTGTTGTTGTTGTTGTTAGCTCAAATCGTATACACAAATTGACCATAGTGTTGACATGTTCACATGACAAATGACCGATCATCATCATCCTGAAAAAAATATGATTTTTTTCCTTGATTGTTGAAAATATGATTTAGCGATGATGATGATGATGATGATGAGTAGACGAAAAAAAAAGAATTATTAGATTCATAAGATTTTAGACTATATATATTTGGCAGTGATGGACACATTTTTGTTCAAATTTCATGATGGTCAAAAAAAAAGGAATGGTGTGAGAAATCGGCCATGCATTTTTTGTTGTTATTGTTGTTGTTGTTTTGGTACAATTCGTTATCTGTCATTGTGATCAAGTCAATTAAATTGATCTACCTGATAGATACAGACAGGATATAATAAATACGTGGATGTTTTTGTACGTGTATAGGAAACGAAATAGAACACTATACACTCGGTTGGAGGTCATCCTGTTTTTATTTTTTTTTTTTTTGCATAGAAAAAACACGTGTTTTGTTTTGTTTTGTTTTTTGGTGGTCAATATAGTCAAGTCGTTTTTTGAATTATTTTTGTACATGTGTGTGTGTGTGTGTGACTAACGGATTTATTGGTCGATTGATTTGAATGAATGGATTATTGAATGAATGAATGAAAAAAATGTGAATTTCATGGAGAAAACGATTGGGAAAAAATTTTTTTTAACTACAAATTTTACAAACAAATAAACGAAAAGTCATTATTTCTAAATTGATTCCATTGATTCAATGAAATTTTCTTCTTCTTTTTCTTCTTCCATTATCATCATCATCATCATCATCATCAACAGCACGAAAATTTAAAGAAAAACAAGCCATAACGAATCAAAACATCGAATCTCTTTATCATCAACGATATAAACAGAAATATTTTTTTTTTTGCAAAACTTGAATAATGTAGGAAATAAAACAAAACAACAACAACAACGAAAAAAAATTGACAAATTGAAAATTAGGGAAAAAAACCACAAACAACTACCGGTGTTCCCCTTTTTTTTCATCATCATTGTTTTAGCCACATTAGATTAAAGATAGATAGATAGATATGCATGACATTTATACTAGACTCATCCACTAAGCATGACTGGTAGCAAAATAATGTGATGATAATGATGATGAAGATGATGATGGAAATCGGTTGAATGCGTGATTAATTTATTTGAAATTTTTTTATTATCGAAATGAATACCTGGCTATAATATCAAGCCATTGTGTGTGTGTGTGCATGTATGTCTTCAATGATTTGTATAAGATAATACAATCATTGGACAATCATCATCATCGTTATATTCATAATCATCAACATGAAAAACAATCGACTATTATCATCAACAACAACGTCGGTGATGATAATATGATGATGATGATCATCATCATTATTATTATTATTGCCTAGAAGATAATTTTGTTACTGTTGTAGAGCTACCGAAATGCCTAAAAACACTCCAATCTTCTGTATGGCTTACGAGTTACATAAGATTTGTTCGAATTTAGCTGTTCCAGATAGTACAGATGGTCGAATGGGTTTTGCTGATCGATGAAAAATCTACCCGTGAATAGTGTAGTGAGATTTCTGGATGACCAAATGAATAAAATTTTCATCTATCATTTTTTTTTAATTTTTCTTGAATGAAAAAATGGCCTGGTTACAATCATCAATAATGATGATGATGATGATTGGTCAAAAAAATATTAAAAAAAAACAATAATCAGGATTGATGATAATAAGCATATATACAGTTTGCTGTTTAGTAATATTTTTAGATCATCATAAACAGTAGGCATGGCTCAATTTCTTTTCAAATTCAGGAAGCGAAATTTGATGAACCAACAAACCAAAAAAACAAAACAAAACAAAACAAAAAAATTAGAAAAACTCATTCATCATCGGCATCATCATCAATCGATGATCAGTGATCATCAGACATTGTCTGTTGATGATGAAATATGACCAACAACCACCGTGGTCAACATAGAAGTCTTTCTTTCGACGATGATGATGATGATGATACATGACAAATGATCATATGCAAAAAAATGGTGATCGAACCTAATTTATATTCAAGTTTTTTTTCTATTTCATTTGCATCCAATAAATAAGTGAATAATTTGAATAATGAAGACAGTAACAACAACAACAAAAAACAAAAAAAAAACAACTTACCAGAAAAATAACCAAAACCATTATTATGATTGGCCATTTCGGGACTATCTTCAAGACCATCCGGTGTCATACCGGGCCTAAGTGGACGCATTGCACGACGATTATTGCGAAAAAAATGACGACGAGCACTAAATGAATTGACTTGTTTCATTCGTCGTTCTTTGCTACGGCGATTCTGGAACCAAACCTAAAAATGTTTTTCCAAAAATAGAATAAAAAAAATAAAATAAAATGAAAAAATTAAAGATCAAAGTTCAGACCTAGTTGTAATTGAAAACTAAATTCTTTCTTTATCTTATTTGTTTTGTGACACAATGCCCGAAGAAAAGCCGGTTATTTTTTGTTTTTTTTGTTTCTATCCAATGGGCAGTATTCAGTTCACTTGAATTCTTTATTTAGGTATTTTTTTGTGTTCATCTTTTCATCATAAAGATTTGCGCGAGTGTTTATGTCGTTTTTTTTCTTGTCTGTTTGACATGTGCATGTTTCGATAGGATAGATGAAAGAATAAAACAAAAATTCTAACTAAAACCGAGAGAGATTTCCAGCTAAAAGTTCCAGCTACAAACAACATAAAACAGAATGCACGCAAAAGAGAATACGACGTTTTCATTCATTCACAATCGAAAAGAAAAGCCTATGCTGGATGTCTGCTACCCGAATGATAAGAACCAGAATAATGACGATGATGTTGGTTGGTGACAAAGACACACATACAATATAATGACAACGACCAAAAAAAAAGATGCCGAAAAACGAGAGAAAAAAAAATCAAGCAAGTTGAATGCCGTTTTTCAATGATGACGAAATTTTTGTTTTTTTATTTGTTTTTACATTGAAGAATCAAGATGAAATTTCGATTTTTTTTCTCTATGCGATTAGATTGGCCTTTTAATTTTTGAATTCAATTGATTCATTTCAGGAACAGAATTTCATTTTAGGTTTAAGAAACTAACTCGAACAAATCATCATCATCATCAATATCCAAAGATCCAAATAAATAATGGGGCTTGAATACCGTTCTCAGCTGTCAATTAATGATGCTCAAACGATCAACCAAGAATGAGCAAAAGAAGAATCTGGTTGTCATTATTCCTCCAGTGGCAACAATAATACCAAACAGCAGAAAAACGGCAGAATAAATGGCGGGAATGAAGTTTCATTTTTCAACACAAACACAACAACAATTGTGGAGTAAAAAAAGAAGAAGAAAAAAAAACATCAATTCAACGATGATGTAACCACATTGTGAGAACGTGAAACCGAAAATGAATCACTATAGAGTGTGACCGACCAATACACACACACAACAACAACATAAACAATTGCATTGGAAAAAAAAGAGAATGCAAAGAAAAATACCTTTTACGGCCGAAAAAAAAGCAATTCATCTTTTGAACATAATAGGAAACCAGACCCCAGTCTAAGGTCTATTACAAGGGTACTGAACGGATGGTACTGGCAGACTGAAAATATCCAAGTGAAATGATGTCTTCTGAAATCGTTATTTTTTTTCCTCTAGAACTTTTGTTCATTTTCGTGTGCATTTTAGTGTTCCAGAATGAACCAGAAACATGAACATGAACAACAACAACAACAACAACATCATTCCATATATATGGATAGACATACAAAACAGTAGTAGACATATTGCCATCAGATTTTTTTTTTCTTCTTCTTTATTATTTATTGACAATGAATAATGTGTGAACCAAATTCCTTCATGCCAATTCATCTTTTGTTATTATTCATTCCTGGTTCAGAATTTCATCATCATTCTCTCTTTCTACACCACCACCATCGCCATCGCCACCACCACCACCTTCATCATCATGAAATGTTGATGAATTTTTTTGGATAATACACACACACACACACACACGATTACACGAGTTTTTTTTTAGTCGAGAATCATTTTCAGTTCAAATGAACGAGAAGAGATAAAATGGTGATGATAGCTTAAAAGCTTGCCAAAAAGAGAAAGAGAAGACTATTAACAGATTTATTCTGTCATAGTTTGTGTGTGTGTGTGTAAAAAAAGAAGAAAAATTCATAGAATTTTTTCGTAACGTATGGTAAAATTGTTTAGAAAAAAATTGTATCTAAATAGTGTTGAATTCATGTTACATTATTGAAAAAAATATATAGTGAGAGAATTTTTTTTCTGGTAGAATCAAGAATCCAAAAAGTGTAGCAAAAAAAAAAATTTTTTTTTTTCGTTTTTTCGTTTTGTTTTGTTTTGTTCTTCTTTTCCTCGAAATCGACTTGTATGGATGTTGTTGTTGTGTGTGTGTGTGTGTTCAATTCATGTTACACACACACACAAACAAACTGACATTCCAGACCTAATAATTACCCGGAAATATTTGGACAATGTTTGTAAAGTGTGTATATATATATGCATACATTTTCAATGAAAAATTTTATTTTTTCACCAACATATGGCCAAAATGATTTCTTTCTCTTTTGAAAAGAATCTCTAGAATTCTCTATTTAACTATGAGAAAAAAAATAACAAATTTAAATGGATTTTCAGAAACAACGAATGATGTTCCCATAACATTTAGATGGCCATTGTCCATTGAGTCAATATAATGTTTTTGATGATTTTTTTTAAATAGCATCATTATTGAATTAAATGAAGAGAAAGCCGATTTATATTCATTAAATTCATTGATGGAATTCTTTCTTGTTTCATTGGCCAAATAGCCAAATAGATGGTTGCATGTTGCAAAAAAGAACGAATCATATCAAACGAGAAAAAAAACAAGCAAATAGAAAAATTTAAACTTGAAAAACACGCATTGACATAAAATCATAATTTGCCGTTAGTAAGTGTGTGTGTGTGTGTGTGTGTGTGTGTGTGTGTGAATAGAAAATTCTTCTGTGATGATGATGAGAATTCGACATGGCACACGATCACAAAGAATGTAAAACGCTCAATTGACCCGAAACAAGTGAGTAAAAGTGTGTGTGTGTGTGTGTTTACATTACGAGAAAAAAAACCAAATAATTGTCCAGAAATAAAAAGCAAGACAAGATTGAAAAAAATTCAGATCCGCTGAGTTTATCATCATCATCATCATCATCATCTAGATTCGATATGGATATAAAGCAAGCGAGCAAGATGTTGAAACATGAAAACAAACAGCTATTTCTGTTTCATGTGTCAAGTAGCTGTGGTGTTAATTTTTTTTCTGTTTTTTTTCTGGTTCAAAGCATATATATGGCAAGCAAACATGGATTTCCATCAAAAACATTGATATTCATATATCAGTAAATGAATTTCATCCAAAAGAGAAAAAAAAACACACAAAGTTGGTGCGTACACTACATAATTTGCCATGAAGTTTGTCATTCATATATCAGTAAATGAATTTCATCCAAAAAAAAAAAAACACACAAAGTTGGTACGTACACTACATAATTTGCCATGAAGTTTGTCGAATCACACACACACACACACACCTGAGCATTTTTGTTAAGAATATTCAAACATTAATTTCGGAAGCTACACATATACAGACACATGATGAATATAAAAAATCAAAAACAAAAAACAACAGAAAAACGGATAATGATTTAATGTTGAAATAAATTGTTTATATTATGATGATGAACACCAAAAACAACCCTTTTTATGTGGTACCCGGTTTTTGTTGTTATTATTGTTGTTGTTGTTGTTGTTGATATTGTGGTAGTTTGTTTTTCGTATACGAAACTATCACAAAGTCCAATTTATTATTGAATATTTATTCAACTTCTGTATGTCGTCGGTGTAATTTGTTGTTTTTTTTCTAGTCTAAAGTATATGAGTCTGGATCTAAATGGTGATGATATTCACACATCCGATGGGTATTTTTTTTGTTGTTGTTGTTGTTGTTGTTGCTGTCAAAAAAAAAAAAAAACAGAACAGAACAGAATAACAGAACTCTATGAAATGAACTGAAAAAGCGAATATATTAGTTACGGCGGCTATGGCTAAAGCTACATACATGATGATGATGATTTTAATTTCAGACAAAAAAAAATAACATCATACGGCCAAAGGTCATCTCATAAATACATCTGGAATGTGGTTTTTTCTTTTTTCTTCTTGATTGTTTGTTTCAATTTTCTATCTGCATATATATTTAATCTATGTGTCTGTATCTGTAACATTTTTCATTTCAAAGCCAAAAAAAGATGGATGGAATAAATGTTGAATTTATGGATTACATTGAAATTAAAACACACAGAATCAACATCACTATAATCAACCAACTGGGTGGCTAAATATATCAGATATCAAATTTTGAAATGCACTTGATTTCAAAATTCTTGTTGTTGTTGTTGTTGTTGTTGTTCAACAATGATGATTGCCATCATTATCATAGTAATTTTATCGGTTTATTTGTTTGTTGAATCATTATGATCAAAAATGATGTTTTTGTTGACACGACGCCAATGGCTGTTGTCATCAATGTCATCCTGTATATCTATCTCTCTCTGTGTGTGTGTGTGTGTGTGTGTCTGAGACCAACAACTGTCGGACGGATATATATTCTCATTTCTCTTTTTTTCTACTTACTTTTGATCATTCATTCATTCATTTGATTTGACAAACGTGTCGACAATAAGATCAAAATATCATGATAATATAAACACACATTGTCACACGTTGGAATCATCAAGAGCAGAGAGAAGAGAAATGAACTTTTTTTTTTTTTGGTTGATATACTCTACACGACCGTCATTCATTTATTCAGAAAGATAGACATACACACACACACACACACACACACACACAGACAGCAGAATTGAGTCAATGTTCATGTGTTTGTTTGTTCCAAATGTATAGATCGTATATTGCCACTCAATTCTTTACTATGTACTATTTTTTCCTGGCCATCCTTTTTTTTCATTTCCTTCCCGTTTTTTTTTCACCATCGTTTATTTTGTTGTTGTTGTTGTTGTTGTTTTTTTTTGTTTTCGATTTCGATTCATTTTCTTTTCATTACGTTTCGATTCTTTGGATCATTCATACACACACACACACACACACTCATAATAAAACGATTTTTTTTGTTGTTGTCTCACATCGTCGCTAGTCACTTGACAACTATATCTGGAAATAAAATCGGTAAAAATGGTCGATCAGTTCGTGTGTGTGTGTGTGTCTGTTCCAAAATAAATTCTCCAACCAACATTTTCTCTTATATAACCAATTTTTTTTCTTTTCATTTCATTGTCATTCATTCATTCATTTTTTTGGGTGCCACACAAGCGGCAATCAAGATTACTCTAAATGATCAAGATAAGAAATGAAACTAATGCAAACACACACACACACAGTAAGAGTGTGAGAGAGTGAAAAAAAAACGAAATTGTAGCCAACCAACCAGTCAGTGAATCAACCAGACTTGATGATGATGATGATGATAATAATAATATGTAATATGGTTCAAACGCCTCAAGTCTTGGCTACCAGAAATAAAAACGAAGAATAATTCTCAGATTCTGAATCAAAACAAATATATAAACAGTGAATGTCACATACAATCATCATCATCATCATTGATGTTGATGTTGATGATGATGATAATGGTGTGACAATGTCATTTTACTACATAATATAACTACTACTACTACTAGTAGTAGATAGATTTAAGTTTATTTTGGCCACACGTTTGGCACATGTGTTTCACCACCACCACACACACAAACACATTTATGAAATTGTGATAATAATATAATCGCTAATGCTGGTTGAATTTCCCGGTTGTTGTTTTCATCATGATGATGATGATGATGATAATACATAGTTTCCTATTTTCAAATGATGATATTTTCACGAATGTGACAGTAATGAATAAAAAAATGTCAACTGACAACTTTTTGTTGTTCTCTCAATGAAAAAAAATCAGAGTATTCTAGTGAATGGATTCACATACCTGAATGACTCGCATATTGAGACCAGTTTCATTGGCCAATTGTTCACGTATATGCCTTGTTGGTTTAGGTGTTGCTTGAAATGCAGCCTTTAATGTTTCCAATTGTTTTGCTTTGATTGTTGTACGTGGTCCACGACGTTTTGTACCACCTGGTTGATTTTCATCATTACCACTACCAATACTATTAGCGGAACCGGATTGATGACCACCAGTTGGTGATGATGGATCACCAAGACCACCTAATGATGCTGCTGAACCATTTGTACAGCCAATACCGGAATCAGACATTGATGAACTTGCAGACATTGGTGATGATTTACTTGATAATGCATGATGTGATGATCCATGACTTAGACTATTCAATGATGGTAATGGGCCATCAATACCAAGTAATGTTTCATCTTCGGCATCAGAATCAAGTTCATCTTTACAGCTGAGATCTTCACCATCACCTGGTGATATCATACTATCATCAAAATCAGGATCATCACCATCATTGGTTGATTCATTTAATGTGGTTAAACCTAGAATACGAAAACAATATGTGGAAGAAAAAGAGAAAACAAAAATTACAATCATCATTATTATTATCATGGTAGTAGCATATCATTAAATGGTGAAATAAAATAATTTCAAAAAGTGTAATAATAAAGTCATAAATAAGAAAAAAAAATTTGGCATCAAAAATTTTTTGATTTACACACACATGTCCAAGACAACAACAACAGAAAAAAAATATGACGATGATGATCGCCTGATGATTGTGTCTGACTGGTGTTGACACTTTGATGATTTTTCCTTTCGTTTTTTTGCTTTGTAATATGGTATAAAGTGGTATATATGACCAATAACGATGACGATGATAATAAACTCGTCGACCAAAAAAAAAAAAAAAAAAAATAAAAAGAAAAAATTAAACTATAGTAAGTCATTGGCCGTAAAAAAAAACCTCGATTGGTAGAAACAACCGACGGTGAAGCAAATGACTGGAATGGAAAAAAAAAAACACGAAAACCACAAAATTTGCCATTCGAATAAAATGAAAAATAAAATAAAATTTAGAAAACTTTTTCAAAACAGTCTAGGTCCCATGGATCATCAACATAATGTGTATATGTCTAACGAAAACAAAAAGTTGATCGAATATATTAGAGTCAAGGGACATATCGATAATAATAATAATCATCATCATCATCATCATGATCACATGATGGTAATCGGGAAAAAAACCTCGAATCATTCACAACAACAACAAATTCATCAAGAGTCAAAACACACACACACACACACACATAAACCAGAAGTTGAAACCAAATGGTAAAAACTCGAAATAAAACAAAACAAAACAAAAAATGTTTGAAATCCCAATAGAGTGATGCAATGAACACAAACCATATATACCACATCACTGATGATGATGATGATGATGATCTACGTCTTGGGTACAATATAATGACACACACACACACACATCTCATCATATTTCTCTTTACAAAAGTCCTGATCTACTATTATTGTGTAGTATGAAGAATTTTTTTTTTCAAAAAAAAAAAAAAAAAATCACCACTAAAAACATACGGTTTATTTTTCGGAAACAAAAATCAACGTATAAGGGCCATAAAATGAACAAAACAACAACAACAACAACAACGACAAACCTGAATCATAATGTTTTGGCGAAAAATAAACTTACAAGAATCGGTTACATGATGTAAAAATGGATGGAGAATCTAATGATAATGTTATGGGTGTGTGTGTGTGTGTGTGTTTGTTTGTGGTTATATATGTCGTTTCAGTGTGTGATTTGTTCATGAATGAATTGAAAGAATTTGGCAATGTGAAAAAAAAACTTTTCAACAACTTTTGAATGTTTGCAATCATTTTTGATGATTGTTAAAAACACAATGATAATGATCATCATCATGATAATGATGATTATCATCATCAAAACACGTTGTTGTGTGATTTAATATGATTGTATTGTATTGAAAGAGAAATTTTTTTTCCATCCAGAATATAAGAAAATAATTAAAGGAACCAAAGTTAAGAAAATGACGATAAAACATAAATAGATTCTATCAAATGAGACTTGAACCGTTTTTTTTGAAAACAATATGGATCATCAATCAATATTGAAATACGAATTTTGAATTCGACAAAAAAAAAAAAATCCATTTGACTAAAACAACGAACATCAATAAAACTAATGATGATAACACATCATCAACGGAAAAAAACAAAATGTTGGAACATGATCTATGATCAAACGTTGTTGGAGGTGGATGAATGTTGAAAAAAATAAAAATGACATTCAAATCGTGCATGATTCTGTAAACTTTAATATGACCTTCACTAAAACCCCGATTATTCTGTGTCTGTGTGTTAAATCAAAGCATATATGGAAAAATTATTTTGAATTAAAAAGCCCAAAGTTTTTTTTCTGTTTTTTGTTGTTGTTGTTGTTGTAGTTGTTTCACGTGAATTCTGTCTATGTCTAGTACAAGTGTGTGTGTGTGTGTGAAACATGGTAATCCATACGGTATGATGCTAACATATACACCGTTTAAAAGATTACGTGACCGGTGATAATTTTGCGTGTCGATCGAGAAAAGAAGCACCCAGAAAAAAAAGTGAAACAAAAAACAACAGCATATTTTAGACCCAGAAAAATCGTTTTTTTTGGTGGTGGTGGTGGTGGTGATGCTCCAAGATCATCATCATCATCATCATCTCAAGATCAAAATCATTGATCAGTGAAACGAATAAATTCATGTTACACAGAACACAACAGATTTTGTTCAATATATTCACGGATTTCATAGATTCGTTTCATTAATTTTTTTTTTTTTTTTATATTCGATTTCACTTGAATTTTTTTTATCCATTTTTGTTGTTGTTGTTGTTTTGTTTTACTAAACATTTTTTTTTTTTTTTTGTTCACCACATTTATATTCTGTTTATTGATTGATAAAGTTTTTTTTTCTTTTGTATATCATGAAACAAAAAACAAAACAAAACAAAATTCTTCGGGCAAAGTTTTTCCTTTTTTAGCTATTCAACCATTGCTCGAATATCACGACTCTTGTGTGTGTGACGATAAATAAAAAAAAATGTGAAAAAACAGTCAAGTGTTTGATTCATCGATTCAAGTTCGTGTGATGGTGGTGATGATGGTGGTTGTTCTTGTGGTGGTTTTTTTTATGGAATAAATAAAAAACAAAATGATAAAGAAAACCTGAAAATAAAGTCGATCGGTGGTTCGATGTTGATGTTGATGTTGATGATGATGATGATGGTAAGAAAAAAAAATTCCCTTGTAGCTTTTCGTAAAGTTTCGCCTTTTTTTTGGCCATATACATTTTGTTTCACTTCAAAGTTTTATTTTCTTATTCGTTGGTTGTTGAAAGTTTGCTTCATCATCATCATCATCATCATCATCATCCATTTAGGGCAGCCAAATATCACATCATGTGTGTGTGTGTGTGTGTCAAGATTTACGACAACGACACGACCACGAAATGAGAGAAAAAACAAAAACGAAAAAACTCAACTACAAACCATTCGAATAACTAACCGAATAAAAAAAAATTCGAACGATGATCAAGACACGATCATCATCATCATCATCATTGACACAAGAATGAATCTCGTTCGTGTCCATTTTATGGTCATCATCATCATCATCATCATCAACATCATGGAAATCGGCAATAATCAGGTAGTGAAAAAGAAAATTTGCCCGAAACAAAAACCAAAAAAAAAAGAAAAAAAATATGATCCTTTTGATGACATAAATGAATGTCAAACGAATTTTTTTTCTTGAATTCTTGAATCTCAAATCTTTTCCTTGTAAAAAAACGAACAAAATCCATTACCCACCAAAATTCTTTGGCAAAATTCAAAACAACCATGGTGATGATGTTGTCCGTCAAAAAAAAAAAGAGGCGAACCAAATAAACTAAGAATTCTTTGAAGACACATTTGTCAGACCGTATTCGTATCGTATCGACCATATGTGTGTGTTTACGTATTAATAAATCAATTGAGGCACCAAAAAAAAAAAAAAATGGAAAAGACTATACCACGACGACCACGTTTTTTTGTTCAATGGTTAAAGCATATTTTCATTCAAAACATGATGATGATGATGATGATGATGATCATGACAAGATATGACCACCATCAACCACATTCATATATATATGCAATATATATGACAGGCATATCATGATCATACTGTGTAAAAATCAAATGGTTTTTTTACTTGCTCTTGTTGCTCTGTTGTTATTATTCCATTCATTCATCACACTTGCAACAAACGAAAAAAAAACTTGCTAATTTGTCGTGATAATAGTCGTAGTGATAATTCCCTTCCACCTCTTCCCCCACCCCTCCCGAAAAAAAATCAAGCACACGAACAAAAACAAAACAGAAAAAAATCGACAGATTAACGTCAGTGAAAATATTACAACAATAAAATCCAAAAAACAAAGAATGAAAATGTAATGCAATGAATATTTGAATCTAATGATTCTTTTTGTTTTTTTTTCATCGATAACGGAACTTGAATGAATGAATTCAGTGATGATCATTAATCAATTGAACACTGAAGAAAAAGACAGGTAAAATTTAAGGATTTTTTAAAACATAAAAATTTTACAACTTTGAAAAAAACTAAATTAATGAATGAATATGAATTCTGATTATGGAGATTTTATTTTTTTGTTTTCACTGAAAAACAACATTTTTGCTTCAACGAGTAACCTGATGAAAACCTTTTGACCTTTTTTTCTGGAAGGTCAGTAGAATATAAGAATGAAAATGAAAGAAAAAACAACAATCGATTTACAAACGATTTTGTTTTTTCATAATTAATTTTCTTTTTGGCTATCTGTTCATAGATAAAAATGAACAACAACAACAACAACAATAACAACAACGGGACCAAGCCCTACTGGAACACGGGATAGGCCTTTGGGTTTTTTTAAGAATAGCAATGAAATTCCGTTTTCCAGAGTTATTCTTGGAAATTCTCACAACGAAAAAAAAATCGGATACAATTTCGTTATGTGAAACAATACAACAAAAAAAAAAAGACCAAATTCTATATGACTCACACACATACACCACACATGTGGACATTACCAAAGAATTATCATTGCCAAAAGGCGAAAAAAAATTGCAAATTTGTAACTAACAAAAAAAGAAACGAAACTACATGACACACACACACATTCCAACAGCAATAACAACAACAACAACAACAACGACAACAACAAATTGGAGTGAATATGACCGGCATGAATGAAATGGTACAAATCAAATTTTGGTTTCTGTGTGCGTGAACGAAAAAAAAAAAAAAAAATGCACAGACACGAATTTGTGACAATTCAATTCACATTATTTTACAATAACGTGATGTTACACACATGATGATGATGTTGATGTATGCATATACAATTGATCCCGCAAGCCAAGAATATTATAGGAAAAAAACTCACAAGAATCATGAAATGTAAATATTATTCTAGTATTTTGGCTACAACAGTTTCAGAATTTGATGATGATGATGATGATGATGATGGAGGCAATAGTAAGAAATTTGATCAACTATCCTTTGGGCTATATTTGTAACGACACTTGTCAAACATACATACACACACACACACACATGTTAGATGAACACCAATGACATCATTTCCATCATTATCATTTTTTGAATTTATAAAGAATAATTTAATTATTGCATTGATTTTGGATGCAAATTTTATTTTTTTCACTTTGCTTTTTTTTATTTTCATACTTTCCTAATGCATATGTGACAAACAGAATATTCTTACCTGTATGATGATGATGATGATGATGATGTGGATGATGTGGATGATGATTATGTGAATGGGAATGATGATTTGTTGGCTGATGTAGTGGTGCTGGTGATTGTTGTTGTTGATGATGCTGATGATGAGTATGTTGATGATGTAATGATTGATGCGATATGGATGTAGGCGGGTGGTTGTTGTTGTTGTTGTTGATGTTGTTGTCGATTATTAATATAATCCTTTTCACAAACAAAACGATTCTCTTCCAATATATACAATTGTTCACCGGTACTTAATTGTTTACGGCATACTATACAGGTAAAACATTTTATATGAAATACTTTATTACGTGCACGTCGTACTAAATCGGTGGGTAATATTCCTTGTGAACATCCTGAACATTTTGTTCCAAAACGTCTATAATGATTCAATAAATGAAATGGAAAATAGAAAAAAAAATTCATTAAATTTTTTCATATTTTGAAAAAAAAAAAAAAAAAATATCGAAATTAACAAACAAAATCATCATCAAATATTAGTTTCACAAATGTTTGCTTTTTCAGCTTTTTTTTGTTGTAGAAAATGGATATTGATAGTAGCAACTAATATTTGTACAGACTACAGAATTTCCGATTATCACACACACACACACACACACACACAATGTGTGATATTGGATGAAATTAAAATTGTTGTTGAATAGAATTGAATTGAATTGTATGGTAAAACCTGGAGAAAAAAAATTTTTCAAACAAGTTACAGAATATACATTTTCATTGTTTTTTTTTTTTCTATTCATCATCATTTAGATTATTATTATTGTTTGCTAACAATTTCTTTTCGTTTTATGGTGAATCCACAGACACACACACACACAGTGAGAGAAACAACAAAAAACAACAACAACAAGAATTGAATCGCCGGAACCCATATTCGATTGAAAGATTGTCGTACAGAATGACACCTTCACCATCATCACCACCACCATCACTACTATCAGCCAGTCAGTCAGCCATTGTGAAAATGGAGAAAAAAACGAAACGCTTTAGGGTGATGGAAAAAAATAAACCGAAAAAAAAATTCTAGTTGAGTGATATATAGTGAGAGGTAACCAGGGACCAGAATTCTTCACACTATGAATATATGTATTGGTATGGTTGAATGATGAATATACCACAATATTTATTCGCTTAATCATGCAGAAATGAGTGTGAATTCTGGTATATATAAAAACAAACTAGATGGATGGATGGATGGATGGTTTCGTTTTTCTCCCTCACTCTCACACTATGGTTTTTTTCGTTACCGGGGGCATAAATTGTGTTTCCCAACTGAATGTCTATCTGTTTTATCTATCAAAATTTCCAAAGATAACAACAACAACAATAAAAACATGGTTTTCGAAAACCGAAAAAAAATTGCTCAAAGATCTGCAAAGGCATTTTTTTTTTGCCACGAATATCATCAAATTGAATATATCAACTAAAATTCGATTGAGGAAAACAAAAAAAAAAAAAAAAAAGAAAAATCAATGACGCCGGTGTGAATATACGAAAGGATCCTATCGCATACAACAATTCTGCCTTCCCCCCATCCAAATCGATGGAAGGGGTTTTTTTCTCGTATGTATCAAACCCACAAAAATTGAATGAATAGTTTGTGGGTTTGTGTGTGTGTGGTTTCGGTCGGATTCTTTTGTTTTCAACAACGACGACGACGACTACAACGACAACGATGATGATGATGATGACAATGACATTTGGGTGACGATCATTTTCATTGTCATTTTGATCGTATTCTTTTGTCTTTTTTTTTTTCTTTCAAGATATATAAATATTGTTTCTAGTTCGATTCGATTTTCTCTCTCTCTCTCTCACTCTTCCTCTGTTTTCAAACCATTGTCAACGTAGTCGTCTATTCTATCTATCACTATCAATTCACATTGTTGAGGTTTTTTTTTCTCGATTATCTTTGTTTCATTGTAACCAATTTATATATGTATGTTTTTGTCCTGTTGTTTGTTGTTTCTTGACTGGTGACAATGTCAAAAAAAAAAAATGACAGGCCCATGATGTATTCTCTCACTATCAAAAATAAAAATAAAAACACTGTGTGTGCTTATGACGTGAATGTGTCGAAAATACAAGAAAAAAAACTGACTGAGACCAAAGGGCCCATGATGTGAGAAAAAAAAATCATCAATGGATCTTGAATAATTTTTTTTTCGGTTGTTGGTACAGGGTGAATACACGAATGCAAAACAAACGAAAAAAAAACATCTATTGATCTATTGCAAATTTAATTTGGTACATGGGTCAACAAGCTTCCACAAAGAATCAAGTTTATCGTGGGCGTGGGAAAACTTAACTATTAATGGACAAAACGTACATTTCAACGTTCAGAATCAATTTTTGGCAAATCTTTCATGATGAATTAAATGAAATCTTAGTCATCAAATGTTTAATTCATCTCAACTCCAACAATGAATCTTCATGTGTGTGCAAATAATTTCTTTCATTCAACTTTATTTCATATTATTATCATAACAATTGTAATAATAACAGTTCTGTTATTTATTTTATGTTGCATACAATATATTACACATAAGAATTATCGACGTGCAGCAATGGAGCATTATCAACTCGCAGTACGAAGATAATAATCAAATTTATTAATGTAATTATTTAATAATTGTTTTTTTTTTTTGTTTTTGTTTTGTTGTTTTGTTTTTTTTTAAAAGCGAATACGATATCTTTGAACAGTTCATCAGGTTTAATACTAAAATTAGTTAGGAAATTGTTTTAGACCACTATTCATTTTGTTTTTTATTATTCTTTCTTTCATTGCTTTTTATCCTTTATGTGGTCTAAATCATTCCTCTATTAATTATAACCCCTACCCCCTTTTCCATTTGCTTTTGTGTATGATATGCATTTCATCAGGATGGACCCGTCGAAAACGTTCGCTGATTTTGTCTCTCTCTCTTCTCTCTCTCTCAATTTTGCACTTCAAGGGATATTTGGAAACGAACACGTTGTTTTGTTTGAAATCGGATATTTCGAAGAAAAAATTTTTGGTGAAAAAAAAATTTTTGTAATCAACGATTCGAATAATGAAATTAATATTAATGTCAATGATAACAATCGGATTGGTCAAACTAGTTGGCTATACCGACATTTGATCAATATGAATAAAAAAGCTAGGTATAGGTAGACAAGAATGGACAATTTTCATGTTGGACACCAAAAAAAAATCCAAAGTCAATGATCAAACATGTCAGTAAAACGAAGTGAAAAAAAGAAAAAAAAATATTTGAAAAGTCTACAAATACACACACCGACACCGGTGTCGGTGTGTCGATCAAGTGTCAATTATCAACAACAGAAAAAAAATGAAGAGGTGGCTGATGGTTTTTTGTATCATTCAGTATATCCACATTTACCACCTCAATAGCACATACACATTTTCTTTCTTTTCTATTCATTATATTTGACAATTTTCATTTGTTGTTGTCGTTTCTTTTTCTTTTATTATTATTATTGAAGCTGTCATTTCTTGTTGTTGTTGTTGTTGTTGATGAACGCCCATACCGAATACTCGTCAATTGTCATCATTGTCATCAATGATTTCTTCTTTTTTTTTGGACACATCGTGTAGACACCATGTCAAATACACACACACACACACTTAACACTTACAATATCAACCAATTGTCATCATTGTATCCGAATAATAATAATAGTAAGAAGAAAATGTCCATGGTGGCGGTGGTGGTGGCGGTGTTTAACAACAACAACAACAACAACAATGAAACCAAAACCATCAACGAATAACAGAAAACAAAAAAAAACATACTCGTGAACAATCGTGCGAGACCAAAACGAACAAACGAATTGAATCAAAAAAAAAAAAAAAAAAAAAAAAAAATACAAGTACCATGAACGAAAATTTTGTGGTAACCAAAAAAAGAGAAAAAAAAATCAAATTCGAACAAAAACATGTTATTATTCGTAAATTGTTGTTGTTGTTGTTGTCGCGATGTTGTTGTTGTTGTTGTTGTTTTGGAACTTGGTGCGACAACTACAACCCTCAGAAAAAAAACTACAACCATAAGCTTGAGATACTTGAATAAAAAAAACATCATAGGAATCTCATGTTGCAAAAAAAAAGTTGAAAGTTCGTGTGTGTGTATGTGTGTGAGTGAGTGTGAAAAAAAATGTCCGGAATATAAAAAAAAAAAAAACAATGATAATAATGATATGATGATGATGATGACAATGACAATGATGTGTGTGTGGAAATAGTGGAAGAAACAAAAAAAAGTGTCAAACTCACAAAAAAAACACAATACAATGATGAAAATCTGAACGAAAAAATCAAGGTTTTTACCTTAGAAATTATTATTATTATCATCCATCCATCCATCCATCTCGATATCAAGGTAACAATGATAATAATAATAATAATAATCGAATCCAGCTATTGTAAATGTTAAGATATTCGGATCAGTAGCCGCAAATTTTACATTTTTGGCCAATAATCAATAATAAATAGCGGCATTCGATCAAACGTAACAACAACAACAACAACAACAACAAAAAAAAACATAAACATCAAAATGGAGAAAGTCAATGATATATGGTGGTCACACACACACACACACATACATAAACACACAGAGAGTGTAAAAGAAGAAGTAAAAAATTTGCCGCCTGAATTTTCTTTCCAACATTGAAGACCACATCCATCCATATATATACAATTATGATTATTATTATAGCCATTCTTGAAGTGAACAAAAAAAAAAAAAAAAAACAAAACAAAAATTCTGTCCAGAAAAGTAAGTAAATTGAGTAGGAAAAAAAAAGATGGGCCCACCTCGAACATTGATCATCATATATATACTGCTACTGGTATATATTAATATATTGGGCATAGATGGTAATTATTATTATGAGAGAGAGAGAGAGAAAAAAAATTATGATTCTCATCATCACCATCATGAAAATAAAAAAAGTTCAAAATGTTGAAAATCTGAATTCTTGAAAAAGATTAAA